TTATCATCATTACTAATAACTACATGTCGTAATCTACTGCTGGACTATGAATGTCCTCCATGTAAGAGGAGTTGTTACAAGCACAGCGCTTGGCATGTGGATTAGAGAAAACAATTGCAAAGATTGAGGTTTTATTATTTAACTCGTCGAGTACCGTCATTATAGACACAATTATAGAACAATAGGTTGCGGTCACCGGTGACCGCTTGGTGTTTGACAGTTTAAGTGTGGGAGAGCCATGCTTCGGCTGGACTGGAGTGATACCACAGCCTCACAGAAAACCGATGTGAAACAACACTTGCGTTGTCGCTTTCGTCCCAATTACTCCGTCCCAAATCTCCCCAATCCCCAACAATCCTGAAATTCCTATCCACAAAAGGCCGGTAACGCACTTGTAACGCCTCTGTTTGAGTGTCTATGGGCGGCGCCGATTGCTTACCATCAGATGATATGTCTGCTCGATTTTTTTTTATGGTATAGGAGGCAAACGAGCAGACGGATCACCTGATGGTAAGCAATCAGCGCCGCCCATGAACACCCGCAACACCAGAGGAGTCACAGATGCGTTGCCGGCCTTTAAAAAAGGAATACGCTCTTTTCTTGAAGGTTTTCGGTTCCCAATTTACTCCATAAAAATTAGAAAGCGCTATTTCCAAGTCTCCGTCTCTAAAACCCGCGGGAATTGTACGTAGTGACAAATGTACTTTATTCTGCAATTTTCATATGGCTAAAAACACATAATGAAACTGAATTACTGTTTGTCACTGTTCAGTAACGATGCGGTTAAAAGGCTTGGTGTAATAGAACCTTTTATTGACACTTACGGCTGTAATCGTATGTGTATAATGGGTATAAGAGGTTTACTTTTTTGATTGAAGTGGCCAATGCTGGTGTGAGGTTAATGGCTATTTAAGTCGAGATTGCGTGGTCGTTTGATGTGAGTGAGTTTGCATACATTATGTACCTAGTTAAAGTCGTAAACCAGCATCACTGTGGCTATTATTGACTCTGTTAACAGTTATTATCTCATATTTCAGCTAAAGAACATATGTTAGTTAGGGTAGATACCTAATACCTTATTTTTATTTTAATGTCCGTCTGGTAGTTTATTTTAAATCATTAGACACGTATTTTTTATTTTCTTACAGAAACGTATACTTTCGACGATATAATAATTTGAAATTGTTGCGTGACGTCACTTCAATGTAAATTTTATACGTAGAAATTACGTTTTAGCCCCCACTCCTTTTCCGTTCCGTTTTATCTAAGTATTGTTTTATTATACGACAAAATAAAAAAATACGTGTCGAATATTTTTTAATTACCTAACTTACGGACTAATTATATTTTTAATTTTCACACCCTGTCATCATCCCAATTCTTTGTAATACTAAGAGCCTACATATGTCATAGAGACCGGATAGCAGCGTTCTTTCATTACCCACCTACCAAGCGCAGATATGTGGAGAACTGGAGATCATGACAAACCCACTTATGTACCTTAGAAGAGAGGTCAAACAGTGGACCATCTCGGTTTGTTGAGAATCTTTAAAGTCCTATCCACCGTATCTTAAACCATTATTCCGGAATCTAAGTCTTAGGAACTGATTAAATAACTCACAACTGGAGAATTGTATTGTGAACCTGATTGAAAAAAAGTAATCAATTGAATTTCTTGCTTGTTCTTCTCCATAGGAATCTACACCTTGGAATGAGCAAATAGCTTCACTTTTAATTTTGTTTTTGTTGACTTTCTAAAGTTCCTTCCTGGTCTAATTGAAATAAATAATTTTGAGTTTGACTTTGACTTTGTTTATTCGTGGTCTTATTTTTTTTATTTTATTAACTCGTCGAGTACCGTCATTATAGACACAATTATAGGACAATAGGTTGTACAGTTTAAATCCGTTGGCATGTTCACAAAATGTAGGAAATAAGGGAAACCTATTATTAGTCTTATGCCCGAATACTGAAATCTTTGTTAAATATAGCCCTCAGTTAATCGCTACTCAAATTTAAGCACGCCTCAAATATAACTGGTGTACTGAAACGTCCATCAATTTGTATTAAGGTGTACTTAGGTAAGCAGCCGTTAAATGTTTGCTCTATGGCAACATTCTGTACAAAAAGCATGTTCTCGATTACAAAATAATATTTTTACATTACGTATTCGTTTAACGCAGCATGATTTGATGAAATAGCTAAATCCGATGATAATTTATGTACTAAAATTTTATGAATTCACAGTCTTGTTCATTTTTTTTAATGTATATCATAACAAAAATATTTTTAAGTACCTACCTACACACAATTATAATATGAAAATGGAACATTATACGACTAGATTGTCGTGTAGTGAAACGTTTAAGTCAATTGACATTATTGACAACAACGAATCAAAGCGCGATATTTCAATTATATGCGTTACTAAAATTTTAATTTTATTTGATAACTATGGAAGAAAAAACTGAAATGTGGATTCAATTATACGACCGCCGAAAAATATATTCTTTTAGAGCTGATCAAGAAGTAAGTATACAATGAAACTTAATACTTATATAATATAACGGTAATCTGATCTATTGCTGATGGCTTATTGCTATATTTGCAGATATTATTGAAAACAAAACGACCAGCGCCCATATAATACGAAAAAACAGAGATGCTTGGGATGCTGTGTGCCAGCAATATAATGCTGTAGCAGTAAGCAGCATTAGAACACGGCACAATTAAAATCTTAAAAAAGGATTCGGAAGAATATTGCTTAAGCCTTTGACTACCAATAAAAACTGTTTTCAAGGACTAATAATAGTATTTAGCTGCATCTGAATCAAGAATTTTAAGGAAAAAGTATAAATTGAATTAACTAAATACATTAATTTATTTATGGACTAGCTTCTGCCCGTGGTTTCGCTTGCGCTCTTTTAAAGTATTGAGAGCAGGATTATAAAAGATAAAATATATTTGGTGCCCGATGTTTTACTGGTCACAAATGTAATACCATTTTAGGTTTCTTGAAAATTATGAAATTCTCCACACAAACCTCGACCCCCTGTTATCTACACTCAATAAAAAAATCACGCCAATTTCTAACAAACAAACAGACACAAATTTATAATATTAAGTACACATTTCTATATTATCTGACATATTTTTGACAAGTAAGTTTCATGGCAATGGATGATTGACAATTTATTTTTTTTATTTTTTTATTGCCACGATATAACATTAAGGTATGCAAAGAGGCTGAATACTAATATTATTAACCTATTTGATTGTAATTCGGTTCAACGAGAGTGAGACATTGGCACTGGAAAGAACGTATGCTTGTTCTATCCCGGAAATCCCACAGGACAGGAACTGCGTTAATCTTCTGGGTCACTCTATTTTTTAAACCATTGAAATTATTTGAGTGGAATTCGGTACAACGACGCAACGATAGTTTGAGACGAAGTCGCGAGGAACAGCTAGTTTAAAAAATAATGACCGACTTCATTTTAAACTGACTTCCCTAAAAGGAGGAGGTTATCAATTCGGTTGTATGATTTTTTTGTGTGCTTTTTACCCGATTACTCGGCGTTTGTGGACAGATTTTGATGATCCTTTTTTTGTTAGTAAGGTCATACTCTCAGGTTGGTCTTATTTCTACCAGGTCAGGATCTGATGATGGAATCCATGGAAACCGAGGGGAACCTTTCAAACACTTTTTGTGGGTCTGGGTGTCATGTGTATGTGTAATTGTATGTTTGTAAACGCACCCACGACACGGTAAAAAGTCCTAGTGTGGAGCAACGTTGTGTATAAAAAGAGTTGTAATAATAAAACTATTTTATTATGATTTGTTTTTCCAATTCTTTATTTTTACAATTTATTCATTTTTAATAGCTTACATAAGTCACAAATATCTATAGAAACTAAACTAAAAATAAAATTAAAAAATAAAAAGAGACCTTCAAATAAATTAAAACTAACTCCTAATCCTCCTCCTAAAAATGTGTAAATACAAAAACAAATTCCCAAAATTTACAATTTTCTTTGACAATGTTATCGAAACCCTTCAAAATTACTTCCACTCTCTACTGGATTTCTTGTTGCTATTTGGCTTTTAATTAATATGGGTGCAACAGGTCTGGTCCAGTCAACAGCCTCACTTACTGTGGGAAATCCTGCAATTGCATAAAATCCGTTTGCAATGTCCACAAATTCTTCAGAAGTTGGCATATTAATGAATAAAGATTTCATGCTCGCAATTTTGGCCGTTACCTTGTGCACAACCCGGTGAACAGTTGGTTGTTCTACATGAAAAATGTCTCCTATTACGCTCCGTTGGTAACTGCTTGTCGCCTAAAATCTTTAGCTATCAGGATTTGGTCTATTGGCTGCAGCGCTCGGTTTCACATGTGAAAGGTTTGATGCTGCTTCCAAATGCTGAATTCAAACTGTCTCTTTGGAAACACGAAAGCGTGCACGGAATTCCACACCATCATATAGTTCGAATGCATTTAATTTTACTCCATTGGGTCGGTATTGGACGACTTTCATTATCGGAAAGAGAGGATAACGACGATAAACACATTTCACACTAATTTATAATTTTTCAAAGCAAATTATATGCACGAGATACTTCTAAGCGTTTGACACTCGAACGTCTGTCACGTCTGTCAAATACAGCTCTCAATTAATCGCAACTTAAATTTGAGCACGCCTCAAATATAACTGGTATACTGAAACGTCCATCAATTTATTTCTGGTCTACTCAGGTAACCAGCCGTTAAATGTTTGCTTTATGGCAACATTCTATAATATGCATTTCCTAAGCATATTCTCGATTACAAAATAAATTGTGTTTTTTTACGTATTCGTTTCATGCAGCATGATTTGATTAAATAGCTAATTCGATGATAATTTATGTACTAAAATATACCAAAATTTTATAAATTTCACTGTAATGAATTTTATTATATTCTATTACTAATTTTATTAACATATAATATCATAATAAAAATAACAATTTAAGTATCTACACACAATTATAATATTAAAATGAAAAATAAATAATTACGACTAGATTGTCGTGTAGTGAAACGTTGTAAGTCAATTGACATACAGACGTTATTGGCATTTAATGAAACACGAATTTTCTCCGGCTTCAGATAGCATACTACAATTTTAATGTTATTATGGAAGAAAAAAAGAATCGTGGGTCCAATTATATACGACTACCGAAAAGGATATCCTTTTAGGGCTGATCAAGAAGTAAGTATGTAATGAAACTTAATACGTATAGGTACATAGAACTGATCTGATCTATTGTTAATTTATATGCTTCTTGCTATTTTTGCAGGCATAATGATATTACAGAGAATAAAGAGACCAACGCCCATATGAAAAAAAAAGAAAGATGCTTGGGATTCTATGTGTCAGCACTATAATCATGATGTAGCTGTCCAGAACATGGCAGCATACCCCGTCGCCGCCTATACTGTTATAGTTATAATAATAAAACTATTTTACTATGATTGAAAATGTCCATTTATTAGCATAGTCCTAATACAAATAGGTATACAAAGTTTTGATTGCTATCCAGACCAGGTTGTGCAATCTTCATCATCAGTCTGTTCTCGTCCACTGCTGGATATCCTGTGCCTCTCTAGAGGTAATGGCACGCCACTGAGGTCAATTTTTAACTCTAGGCATCCAATCGCAGCATTATTATCATTTATTTAATTCAGGCAGGCAGTTGAAACAACTGATACTGTATTTTTCTATTAGTAGTTAAATTCTCTCCACCGCCCCACACTATGTACGTCTGTCTAGACGCGTTCTCCACTTCAGTACACGTCTACCCCAAATGATCATTACTGCCATTTCAGCTTGATAATCCTTTGTGCTACGATGATAACTTCTGTTTTCTATCGTATTACCTCGTTACGGATCCCATACTTCAGAGAGACTCTGAACATCGTCCTCTAATACCGAGTTCAAGCACTAAACTCTTTCTTTGGAATTACAGAAGTTTACACGAAATTCCACATCACTATAATTATTGTTCAAATAATGGCATGTATGATGCATGTAGTATGCAACACCGACCTCCCGCGCGCAGATATGCGCTCATGCAGCAGAGATGCGACACAAAACACACACGATACGCAATAAACCACTCTAACCAAACTCGATATATTTTTTGCTCGACCGCGGCCGCGGGAGCCGCCGAGTCAACAACTCCTGAGGATACTCCGTGCTTCGTTCATTCAGTTCTTCAGCGGAATAAAATATATATAAATATTCCCATTTGATAGTTGTTCAAATGCGTTCAATTTCAGTTCATTGTGTCGTGTTGGATGACTTACATCAGCCAAAAGAGAAAATAGCGTTGATAGAGACATTTTAAACACACGACTTTATACGTAAATTATAATTTCTACCACGCTCAAAGCATTTAGGAGGCCTTCAGACCACTCTTACATTTGAGTGGACTTTTGACAATATATTGACACATACTTAAAATAAGTATCGTTTCAGTATACGGTTTTTTCATCTAACTGGACCATTGAGCACGACTTAAATGTAACAGGCCTTCAAAAGAATAACTGACAATTCATGATACAAAACTAGAATTTGAGGGCTGCTCAATGATTTAAGCAGCCGTTACATATTTAACAAACGTCAATATTCCGGTACATTTGAGGTGACTTTTGACAATAGATTGACACATACTTAAAATAAGTATCGTTTCAGTATACGGTTTTTTCATTTAACTGGACCATTGAGCACGACTTAAATGTAACAGGCCTTCAAAAGAATAACTGACAATTCATGATACAAAACTAGAATTTGAGGGCTGCTCAATGATTTAAGCAGCCGTTAAATATTTAACAAACGTTTCAGTATTCGGGCATTAATCTCTATAATTCACGTAAACTATTGTAAATTATATGTAACGCTGTTGGTTTTCTAAAGACATATATAAATAACACTATCTGTGATAGAAAATATCTTTCTATATTTCTCACAGAAGGTGTATCATCACTATTCGACTATAGGTCCTTCTTAATAATTTCTGTATAAAGGTATTTAAGCTTCACCACACAACCTTCCAGGGCATTAAGTACTAAAATCTATTAAACCAACATTTTATCACAGCATAAAACCTTTTTGAAATGGATACTAAAATAGAAGATTGTTCGTAATTTATCTGAATCCTACGCGTGTCGTATACCTACTACAATCTATTAGAAGTCTCAAACACACGCCTCCATCTTGAATAATTGATGCTTATAATTTGTAACAGCGTTACAGCCTACTGCTTTTAAGAAGTGACGGATATTAAACTTCAGAAATGGTAATTATGTGTTAAACGGTTCACTGTTTACTTAGAATATATTGTTAATGCAATAATTTGTATTATTAGAATGGTTAGTGTTTTAAACTTAACTTGAATTGTAGTTTTCAATCATTGGATCTAAATAACATCAAGTAAAACATCAATAATTACTTAAAAGGCTACTACAACAAACGCAACGAATTATGCTACGGTTACGGCAAAATAAACTATTAAATTAATTAGTATATATATTATTCTTTAACAATATACAATAAATAGGCTCACCCCTATTACATGGGACTTTTAACATAAAATAGTGAAAAGTGGGTGTTACATTGTACAGTGGTATAATGTGCACATCTGCCTACCCCTTCAGGGATAAAAGGCGTGATGTAATATAATAAAGATGTATGTTAGAACGTGTGTATTAAAGTCCGATTTAAATAAATCAAGACTGAAAAACTAGACTACACGGATAAAAGGCGCAGTGTTATACTAGTACATATAAAAAACACGTTCTATATTTCTTAGTACGGCAAAATTCAAGGCCATACAAAGGAGGCTTTCCATGAAACTTTCATTTCATGAATATTAAATATGTAGTGGAACGAAGTGAAGTTGTACCACGTGGCTGTTTCCAGGAATTAGCCGGCGATTTCTACTCAGTGAACTTGACACAAATGAGTATATCGAATGAAGAATAATAAAAATGTTTTTCATACTTCAAATGTAAAGTTTTGGCATATTTTGTACACATTTACATAATATCATCTTTTTAATATATTATTCACTTTAATATTAATTTTTACTAGTTGTAACTATTATACTTCTAGCAGAGGTACAAAACAGGGCCATCGCTGAGTAATTTTATCAGTTATATTACTCTAATAATAGGGATAATAACGGGGTTTGAAAATTAAAAATCTATTCTTCTCGTATGTTTTTATTTTGTCGTATAATAAAATAATACTTAGATGAAATGAATTAAAGTGTAGGAGTGGGAGCTAAAACGTTATTTCTATGTATATTTACATAGAAGTGACGTCACGGGACATTTCAAATCAATATAGCGTCGAAAGTATATGTTTCTGTAAGAAAATAAAAAATACATGTCTAATGTTTTAAAATAATATTCCAGACGAACATTAAAATATAAATTAGGCATCTACCTTATTCTTTCCTTTCTATCAAAATTCATAGTTGAGACTAGTAATAATATAAATTGACAGTTATATGCTCTCTGCCTTCCCCGTTGGGTAATGACAGCGTTATATTACATAATCTCTATTCACATACAACTGCTGACCTACTTAACTTGTCACACATAAACATAATGTAATTACATGTTCCTAATCAAGAGGAGTTGCCTAATAATCGTGTATATCCTCATAACGATAAACTTTGCGAAACTAAACTAAACTAAAGTTATTTGATCCCATTGGGCTTTGGCATTACTATTGCTTTAGATTACTGGTAGACTCTCTTGGGTTATATGTCCATAGTTCGATTTAGATTGGATTTAATGGTTTTTTATATTCTTAAAAGTCTTGTGCGGCCTGGATTTGAATATAGAATACTGTTTAATTTTTAAAAATGTTCGAATCTCTTATCAGCTGACTTCAAACAAAAGGAGGAGGTTCTCAATTCGACTGTTTGTTTTTCTTTATTTTTTACTATTCTACTTTTTTGCGACCCGCCCCGGCTTCACATAGAAGCAACATGCATGTTTTATACATATCAACCTTCTTTAAGAATCACTGTATCTATTAAAAAAAACTGCATCAAAATCCGTTTCGTAGTTTTAAAGATAGATGCATACATAGAGACAGACAGACGGCCGATAGCGACTTTATTTTATACTATGTAGTAATACTAATAATATTGATAGTCCTAATATAAAATAGTATTAGATGACTACTGTAAGTCGAGTCCTATCCTATATAAATCTTACTAATATTATAAATGCAATAATTTGTGAATCTGTGTGTATGTTCGTTACTCAATCACATCGAAACGGCTTAACAGATCGGGATTACATTTAGAACAGAGATAGATTATGGTCTGGAAAATACACACGGTAGCTACTTACACATACGGTACTTTTTATCCTACAGAAACACGTGCAAAGCCGCGGGCTAAGGCTAGTATATATGTACATATAAATAGGTACAATAGCCTGACCTGGTGTATCCTGACCAACACATAATATGTGACCTAACTACGTATAACAACCTCATTGAACTCACTTTCCCTTTCCTCAGAATCGCGTGTCGACCTCCATGGTAAAGCCAAATCAATATATTGTTACAACACTTTTCCACCAGCCTTGTGATCCACTGCAACATCGGTGATAGGAAGTAGGCGAGGGTGCTTCGCTAAGGTCAGGTTAATTAAAATGTCGAAACATATCAAACGGTTCGTGTTTACCATGTCTTGTGTTGTTGTGTGGTATGTATTATTTCTTGACCTTTCTTTGTCTATGTTTAAGTGTAAATATAGTACATAAAGTGGCTGATAAACAAGGAAATTTTTACGTAGATTTTTTACGATGATTAGTGATTATAATATATTTTTGTTATTTAGTACTCTCATTTACAAAAGGAGTTGGCAGGAATAAATTAATTTTACTATGTTTTAAACCTTAAACTAACTGCTTTATCATCGTCATTAGCCTGTCTCACTACTTTAGAAAGACGATTTTTAAAATGTTACCCATCTTTTTCTTCTGTGTCGTGGGTGCGTTTACAAACATACAATATTACATACACATTACATTACACCTAGACCCAAATAAACTATTTGCGGATCACTCAAATAGTTGCTCCGTGAAAAAATCGGACCTGCCACAAGTTGCGCGGCAAACCATGCAGACAAAAATTTGTAGTAACCCTAATCTTACAGCATGCAAGTTAATCATATAGTGTTTTGATCATATTTTACATTATTGAATAAAACTGTCTAATATGTACCCGTTTAAAACATCTTGAAAATGACTATCTCATTGGCCGAGTGGTTGCAAGTGCGACTGCCGGGCAAGGGGTCTCGGGTTCGATTACCGGTTTTTTTTTAAGGGGGGGTAAATCATCTAATGACTGCTCCTGCCTGGGTGAGGCGGGAGGGAGTGTCAGACTCTTACTGACTAAAAACCACCCCATTCCTTCTCCTGCACGTCGAGCCGGAGCCCCGGTTACCCGTTAGG